GAGTCGCGAACTGCCCTCCCGGCGAGGGTGGTCAGACGAGGAATTGACTCCTCGGCCGGTTGCTATTCACGACTGGAGTCGCGAACTGCCCTCCCGGCGAGGGTGGCAAGCAAGGAGTTAATCGCAGAGAAACAAATAACATGCTGTGGTGGAGCCTCCGATTAAAATTTGTGGATGGACTTACTACTTACTGCGGACCCGTGATAAAAGGTTCTAGGCTGTTGCGGCGCAGTAGTTCACTCTTGGATCTCACATTCTGCACTCACTGTCACTCACTCACTCGCTGTGGCACTTCTAAAACCTGCGGTTCTAACTAGATACGCGGCGCGGTTCTTTCTCTCTTTCGATTCCGAGAGCCCTGGCTTATATACCGTTTTGAGTAAGCGAGGACTCTCCCAATTGGGAACTCAGTTGAGCTTTGCTGGTTCCTATTTGTTAATTAGTCGGTCGGGCGACTTTCCAGATCGCCAATCGGCGACGATCTCTCGCTTCGGTCGCCTCGTCCGATTTTTCGGGGAAGGAAAAAAGGAGAGTGTTGTCTTTTCGACAACGCCGCATAGACTCTTCGATATTTATCGAGTGATAAATCTTTTTTATGTAATTGCTCGTGGCGACGGATCTTTACTTGCGCCGGCTGTCCTAAATTTTATAGGATGTATTTCTTTGACCCGGAGATAACCGGGTTTATTTGGAAAATTGCTCAGAATGTTTAGACAATAATAAAAGTTTCTGTTCGCTATCGTCTACGAAAGAATTTTTAAGATCGTTGCTAGGCTCGGTTTATTGTTTTCGGGCGTCGACACGATTTCTATTTGCGCGGCTATTGCGTCGAAGTCCGAGTCCGTTTGCGTTATTTATTGAGAAAAAAAAAGGAATTTATTGTATGTCGGCGCGTCACGTTGCAAGAAAAAGGGGCCCGTGGAGTCCCCAGGACGTAACAACTGTATGGGTTGCTTTTTTCTATTTACTCTGCCAGTAGCAGCTTTAATTATTTCATTAATTTCATTTACAATAAAGTCAACATTGTTATCTTGATTTTTGTTGTTCATTATTTGTTTTCCATTAATTGTATAACTTAGATTCAACAATTTGTTATTATTTACAAATTGGTCTTTTTGTTTAATGGTTTTTAATTTTTCATTTAATGCTAGAAATAATAGAAAATGATCTCAGTAATGTTTATAGTTAATCTTAATGACAATATATTCAATTTTGTCTTCACAAAAAAGTTATCAATATAAGAGGGTTTTCTACTATCTGATAGCCTTATAGCTTTACTAAAATACAGCTCATATTGTAGTCCTAACAGGTTTCCCAAAAAATCGACACTATCATTTTCGTTAAAAAACAAATTAATATTAAAGTCTCCAGCAAGTATGTGTGGTTCTTATATTATTTCTTTTCCTAATTAAAAAATTATAAACGTTTTGTATAAATATTTTCTTAGGATAATCATGTGATCTATATAGGGAACTAATTAACAATTTCGTATCCATAATTTCCAACTCCAAGCTAAGTACATTAGTCATTCCTATAAATTCATTGAACACATTATATTTCAAGCTTTTCTTTATATACATATGTGGATTATTTTTATTAATTTTTCTCTATTAGTTGATTAGGATAAAATTGAGTTAGACGAAATTGAATCTTAAACTCGACAGTTTATTTGAAGTATCTTGCTTTATTCTCGGTCTGTATGTGACGACGTCCTACGAGGGACTGTCTCGTTTTTGAAAATATAAATCTTAGTTTTAACCTACGGCTACACACGGACATACATACACACTCATATCACGCAAACAACCTCGCGCTCCGTCTCATCTGCTTTAACGTGCATGATTTTACAATTTCATTTCTACAGTTCGGCCACCCTGCGCAGTCATTCGCCTCGAATGGCTTCGTCATCGCTTACGCTCTCCTCACTATCATCGTCATCCGGTTCTATCCAAGGTTTCAAAAATTCTGCCGGAACTATGGTGACGCGAGGACCTTCATGCTCTCCGACCTTGCAAACCTCGTAACGGTCCTTTCCTAGAATCCTGGTCACCTGATACGGACCCAGGAACTTTATTGCCAGCTTAAGACCCGGCTTAATTTGTGTTCTTTTGATGACCACCAATTGATTCTGGTAATATTGTCTAGCATTCTTCCTACTTGCATCGAACCCTTTCTTATTTGCCTGATGCACTTTTAAAATGTTTTCTTTTGCTATCTGGCGTAGTTGGTCGCGATCCTCAACGAACATGGTCGCGAGCTCCTGCTCAATGATCGCTTTGACCTCAGGAAGACTCTTGAGCCTCATATGGGTTCCAAACATTAATTGGAATGGTAACATACTGATGCTTCTACTATGAGTCGCATTTAAATACTGCATTGCAACTCCTAAATGCTTATACCAGTTTTCCTTAACAGGTTCAGCCAGCTTCGTCAACAGAAGGATAACAGTGCGGTTTACTCGCTCCACTTGGCCGTTACTTCTTGGCAATCCGGTAGAAATAAGTTCGTGATGCACTCTCTCCTCCTGACAGTAATTTTGGAAGTCCTGTGACGTGAATGCTGTTCCTCTATCTGATATTATCTGCGCGGGGTTACCAAATATGACAGCCTGTCTCCTTAGTCGATCGATCACCTCGGCCGCATTGGCCGTCTTCGTCGCATACAGCCAGACAAATTTCGAGAAGGCATCTATAATTACAAAGATATACTTGTAGCTCTTCTTAGATAAAGGCAAAGGCCCGAGATGATCGACATGATACACTGACAGTGGCGAATCTCCTTTATCGATCGGATGAAGGAACCCTTCCCTTTTGCCCAGTTTTCTTTCTGCCAGGATACATGTAACGCAACGCTGAATAACCTTCCCGATTTTAGCTCGCATACCCTTTGAACCAATAATCTCTTCGCAGAAGTGCCTCCGTTTTATCCGTCGCAAAATGTCCATTCTCGTGAGCCTGCCTAATCACCTAAGTCTGCATACTCTTCGGAACAACCATCTGCTCTTCACCTTTATTTTTTTATTTATTGTTTATTTTATATAGAAGATTGCTTTTTACTTTGTAATTCTCGGCAGTTCCGTCCTCAGCAGCTTTAAAACAAGCTTGCAGCTCTGGGTCCTCTCGTTGTGCCTGTCTCAATCTCTCCACAAGTCCCGCAGTCTCTTCGTTCATCATATAACACGCAGGAAGAAAGTTCCGACTCAAAGCATCGACATGTTGCATAGCTCTACCCGACTACACTATCGTGTAGTCAAAATCCTGCATGAATATTGCTCAACGAGCAATACAAGCAGAAATATCTTTTTTGCTCATCGTCTTTACAAAAGCATCGCAGTCCGTAACAATTCGAAACGATATTCCTAATAAATATACTCTAAATTTCTTAAGCGCTTTTACAACCGCAAGCACTTCCAGCTCATAACTCGTGTATTGTTCCTCCGCAGAAGTCGTTCGGCTGCTCGCATAATACACAGGGTGCCACGAGCCGTTTTCGCTATCGCGCTGTAACAAGATTGCGCCAAACCCGTACATACACGCGTCCGTGTGCAGCTCGGTTTCCGCTTTTACATTATATAAGTGTAGCACTGGTTTTTCAGTTAATGCCATTTTTAACGCCTCAAAAGCTCGTACTTCTTTCTCGCCGAATATGAACGGTACGCTCGCTCGCAATAAATTAGTCAAGGGCCTAGCAATCGCAGAATAATTCCGTATAAATTTTCTAAAATACCCGGTAAGCCCTAAAAAACTTTGCACCTGCTTAACATTGCCCGGCTTAGGAAATTTCTCGACCGCTTTGGTTTTATGAGTAGAAGGTCTGACGGATCCGTTTTCTACTATATGCCCTAGGTACTCTACTCTCGACTGAAGAAAACAGCTTTTCTTCCAGTTAATTTGTAAGCCATACTGGCTCGCCACATTCAACACAATTTCCAAACTTTTTAATCCTTCCGCGAGATCAACTGACGGGATTATAATATCGTCCATATAGACTAAGATGGTCTTATTTGCAATTAAATCTCTAAATATGGTATTTATATACCGCTGGAAAACGGACGGTGAATTACAAAGGCCGAAGGGCACTTTGAGAAATTCATAGTGTCCATCCGGTATGACAAAAGCTGTATATTTACGACTTTCTCTACTCAACGCACAATAAAAAAACCATTTTTTAAGTCTAATGTACTAAAAATCCTGGTTCTTTGTAAGCCGTCTAATTGATCCTCCACCAGTGGCAAGGGATACCTATCTCTAACTATTTTTTGGTTTAGTTTTCTATAATCAACGCATAATCTACTCGAACCGTCCTTCTTCTTAACTAATACGATCGGACTAGCATATTCCGAAAGAGACGGCTGAATTATCTTATCGCAAAGTCATTCCTGAATCTGTTTATCAACTATGTTCTTCTCTAGAGGCGATAATCGCCTCGGTCGCTGCCAAACAAGTACATCGTCCTTTGTTATTATTGTCATTTTTACTTCTACCTCTCGAGTCTTCACCGGGTTATATTGCCCTATCATTACCTTTACTATGCGTCTGTGGTTGTTATTCTCAAGATGAGACAAATCTACAGTATTTATCTCGTGCGCAACGTCTATCGCAAATATTTCAGGACGCACGTCGCTCGCCTCACAAATGCCTGACGGTTTAACAAATGTCGCGATTCTCCTTTTAATGACAACGTCAACCGTATTTATAAAATCGGACCCGATAAGTACATCGTATAAAATGACGTCATCCGACACCGCGTGCGCTGTAATATTATATTCGCAATCATCTATAAAAAATGTTCCTATAAATTTACCGAGAGTCTTATTACTGTCTGATCCAAATCCGCGGAACTTGATTATCTCGCCGGATAACGTAGGAACACCGATCAGAGCATGCGCACTCTCACAAATCAAACTTACATCGCTTCCCGTATCAATAAGCGCAGTCAATGTGCATCCCGCTAACTTAATTTTTTTAAAACATTTCCCGGATGCTGCCTTCGACTCGGTAACAATATCGGAATGGCAACTCGTACAATCGTTTGACGCCGCGTTAACTTCTTTATTCTCAATCTTTTTTTTCGGCGTTACCCTTTTTTTACATTTTGCCGCTGTATGACCGAACGCGTTACAATTAAAACATTTAACGCCTTTTTCCTTGGTAGGACAATTCACCGATACATGACCTCGCTCACCGCAGCTATAGCAAACTCTGTCGTTTCTCGCTCTGCTTCCTGACGACTGTCCAGACCTCGCCACCGCCATCTCGCCAGTGCTCGGATTTCCTCGATGATTTCTTGCATGGAGGCTGACGTCCTCAAACGCTCTCAAAATCTCCGCAGCTGAATCAAACCGTTGGATTCTCGCTTGGTCCCGCAGGAACGGATCCGGTATCCCTTCAATAATATCATTTATTAGTTCTGTGCGTTCGATTGGAACACGGCTCGCTAAAATTTCTTTATCGTGAAGATAATCTTTGAATAGTTCTCCTATAATAGTTATTCCAAACGCGTTCTTCGAACCGTCTCCTTAACGCGACCTTATTTATTCTTCGAGCAAACATGTCTTTCAAGTTTGATAACAAGTCATCAATAGACATATCAACATGTTCGTCCTTTGCATGCAGCCACTCAGCCGCTCGCCCTCTCAATCGCAAACCAATCAAAATGCGAGTCATGTCATCACTTAGACGGTAAGTTATTTTTAATCGTCTCACCTGCCTCTCCCAAATCTCGAATCTATCGGCATCACCGTCAAAAATACCTAACAGATCCGCAATCTGAACGATGTTGACTTTTGACACCGCATCTAACGTAGTTTCCCACCTCTGTCCACCAGAATCCTCCGCCGATGGCTCCACCGCCGCACCGCCCGCTGCACTTGCGCGCCGCAACAAATCCAGCTCTCGTCGCGTAATCTCGAGCTCACGCACAGCCAACTCCTTCTCTCGCCTGCACAATTCCATTTCTCGCTGCAGCACCGCATTCTGTTCCTGGTCCGTCAATGCTGACCTGCACGTCTGACGATCGCTAGTGCGTCCACAAGCATCGTCGACGACGCTCCCATTGACCGCCGCCCCACTCGCCACATCGTCCATCCAGGAAACAGACGGGTCCGCATCCATCAAACGACGTATCGATTCCGCCCTTGTTCCCGTCGTGTTTTGCTTTAATGTCTTCAACTTTTCCTTCAATTCCAAGACTGTAAGCGAGCAAGCGTCCTTCATTGTCCTCGTCGTCAACAATAATTAACGGTCGCTCGGTCACACCGAATATCACAGCAGATACACTGTTCCAGCCTCACTCTCGTCTTTTATTCAATTTCGTCTCTTTGTCCCTAAATTCGTCTTTTTAATTCGTCTTCCTCGTCTTTTAATTCGTCTTTTTTCGTCCTTTTAATTCGTCTTCTTCGTCTTTCAATTCGTCTTCTCTCTCTTCTTCTCTTCCTTTTTTTAAAAAAAACAAATGCACCTCTTCACAGCTCGCAAGAGCTCACATCCCGGACGAGCCCCCAGATTGTGGATTATTTTTATTAATTTTCCTCTATTAGTTGATTAGGATAAAATTGAGTTAGACAAAATTGAATCTTAAACTCGACAGTTTATTTGAAGTATCTTGCTTTATTCTCGGTCTGTATGTGACGACGTCCTACGAGNNANTGTCTCGTTTTTGAAAATATAAATCTTAGTTTTAACCTACGGCTACACACGGACATACATACACACTCATATCACGCAAACAACCTCGCGCTCGTCTTATCTGCTTTAACGTGCATGATTTTACAATTTTATTTCTACACATAGCCACACCATCAGCCTTATTCAGGCATAAGGCTGATTTCATTTATATAGATAACATAACCTGGTAAATTATATATTTGGTTCTGACTTGCCCAGGTCTCAGTGTAAATTATTATAGCTGGTTTATTAGTTAATCTATATAAAAGAGTTTCAAGCTTTATTAAATTTTGTTTGAGGCTTCTAATATTTATAAGTAATATTAATTGTTTAGAGTTTCGTATGTTGCTGTTAAAGTCACTGTCTTCTAATATTTGTTCACGTATATATGGATCGTCCTGGTCTAGTTGCAGTTCCTCTTCCTGTATTGCCGGCTCATTAAGTTCATCTTCTTCCTCACTTTCTCTTCTAGTTGCCATTTTTTAATTCAGTTGGATTATATGGATATTCTGTTCTAGCAATTGATTTCTGCATAAAGAAGTTATGTAGAAGTATGTTTGGCATTCATTCTTTTTATTTACTGCGTGGATCTTTTAAACTCATTCTCACTTCTCTCATTATGTCTCACACAGTTTATACATTTTTTTTGTCTCTTATTATCACAATCTTTCTTCCAAAGTTTCCCTGCACATATTGCACAGAAATACTCCTGAGAGTATTGTTTAGCACTATGTCCATATGTCTTGCATTTAAAACAATAGTTTACGTTAAAATCATTGTACACCCTGCACCTGTTGGCACCAATGTATATTTTAGTTTCCTTCATAAGACTTTCATAGGCACTAGTATTTACTTCAAGTATTAGTGTCATAGAGTTAGATTTTACATTAGTATATTTATAAACACTTTTTATCTCCTGTTATATCCAACACTTTTTTTTCCTGTTTTTCAATATCCAACATATTTTTTATTCTTATATCTTGTTCAAGTACATTATTTGGTTCTGCATCATAACATTTGTCTACTCCAATTATTTTTATCTTAGATCTTCTCAACTTTTCAACTTCTACTATAGCTTCAGTCTTTGTTATGTCTTTTAGTTTCTTTTTAATTTTTTGCACATTGTTTGTATTTTTACACCTAACAACAATATGATTTTTGACAGCATACAAATTATCCACAGGAAAAGAGGTCTAATAAACTATAGTTTGCTTGCATTTTTCCATAATTTCTGCAATGTTTTTATTTTTTTTAGGTTTAACAATAAGATTGGGTATGTTTATTTTTGGAGTCTTTCTTATATTTGCATTTGTTTTAGATAGAACTGATGCATATGTTGCCGGTGTACCGTTTATTTGCACTTTTTTTAACTTCTCTTTAATCTTACTATTTTTCTCTATTAATAATTTATTTTTGTCCTATATTTCTTTGACCAGCTGTTTCAGAAGCCTATTTTCATTAGTCGGCGATTTCAATTGTTCTTTACAGTTTGTTAGATTGGATTTTAGAATAATTCTGGTTTGTTTTTCCGTTAGCTTATCCGTTGAGGTTATGTTAGCTAGAGTACTGGAACATTCGTCACAGATTCCATTAATATCTCCGAAACTAACAAATTTTTTTCTCTCAGAACAACTAATACGATATAAATGTTCACAGACTACACAAAAAACCACTGCTGCTGGTTGTTTATTTGCACAGGAAGCAAATTTTGTAGGACGTGACTTTACGCCGTATATATATATATATTGTGACGTGGTATTCGCACCGCTCTTTCCTCGTCACAAAAGTTAAAGATTTTCGCGGGAGCCCGGGAAAACGAGCTGAAAAAATGAGCGCCAAGATCCTCCAGGGCTTGCTTGCGTCCGCTTAGAATAGAGTTTTATTTTTTATTCTTTTTGTAAGTTATTTCGGCGCCTCACCGTCCTGAGGATCATCGTGGGACTTTTCGCCAAGAACATCAGGCTGTGCCCGAACGAGAGAGAGAGAGAAAGGAACAGAGACGCGAAGTCTCGCCTCAAGGTCACGCTGAGAGCAAGGGTAGGTGACTGCATGCAGAAGCCATAGTGGAACATCGACGCTTTCTAGGAGAACACGACGACCAACAAGCTAGTCTAGCAGAACGGGCGGAACGGCGGAACGAACCATCGACGAGCCGGCCTACGCCGAGATGCGCGGGGTTCCAACAATCCTGCTGCCTGGACTCGAGAACACGCTGCTTATATCATTGCTGCATCTCACGGGTTACCATTCCGACCCGCTGCTTTCTACTTTTGCTTGTGCGGCTGTATCATAGCGTAATAGATACTGCGAGCGTTCGAATTTAGCGGCCCGCTGATCCTGCCGCCTGCGAGCGAGCTTGCGAGCCGCGCTGCGAATTCTGCGGCCTGATTGGCCCACGCGACCTACCCCACGCGACCTCAGCGCTGCCCGCTGAGGTATCGACCGCTTATCGAACGAAATCGTCGTGCTCTTGGCATAGTTGCAAACTCGAGCCGGCTAGCACCGAGAGCACCGAGGTGTTGGGAGCCACTGGGAACACGCACACAAGCGAGAACCGCCGTCCGTGTGTGTGTTCCACGCGAGTGTCCGTGTGTGTGTTCCACGCACACGGATGGCGGTTCTCGCTTGTGTGCGTGTTCCCAGTGGCTCCCAACACCTCGGTGCTCTCGGTGCTAGCCGGCTCGAGTTTGCAACTATGGCTCTTGGTCGCGATCAGCTGTGCCGCACACACACACACACATCTCTCGGGTTCCCGTGCGTACGAGTAACTTCCGTGTCGCTTGACAAGTTTGCCGTGCCGCGATTTTTGTCCTCGGGATGTAGTGATTCAAGTTGTGAGGGTGACCCCGACTAAGTGAGCGAGCTCTTACAGTGTCATTCCGGACGGAGGAGACAGGAGCATGCCGGAGGACAACGGACGACGGTGAGGTGCCCGTTTCATTACTGTTAGCCACGAATCCGCGTTACACAGGCCTCGTATCGAGGCTGGTCGTTTGTATTTCGCGTCTTGTTTGCGACGGCAAGGACGTGTCCTTGGCCGTATTCACGATTTTTCGACAGCGGCCAGGATCGGGCTTCACGGGGCTTCGTGGCAGTAGTTCGTAGGGTAAGTGCATGATTTTCGTAATTTCGCGAATAATCGTCAAGCCCTGGAGTGGCGATACAACGCCAAGTAGCCTGTTCGCGTTGTTTGTTTTCGTCTGTTTCTTTTTTTTGGTTAAGTGATCGTACTCGTTGTGCGTGTGTGCTGTGATTATCGTAACCCTATTGTAACCGCTCGCGTACCGTCGGCTATCGTCTACCGACGGCGATCAGCTGACGCTGTACCAAATCATCATACCAAAATCGGATTTTCTCGCGCGATCGGCTGAAGTGAGATGCGTGCGAGTCGGAAGCAGCGTCGATCGGGGGGAAATATCGTACCGAGCTAACGTGCGAATTAGCGGCAATCTCGGGTGGTGAATTTCCGAGACAATTATCGCCGAAAAATTCGCGAACATACCGTGAATGCGTGTCGCATTTTAGTGTGTATAATTTGTCCGGGATTATTCGCGGTCAAGTAACGTATTGTACCGCCGATCTTCCTAGCGCCGAGGCCGAGAGCGTCGTTAATTGTTCGGTGATAATCAAAAAGCAAAGTCAAGCCCCGACATCGCCCCCGCTTCGCTCCGTATTGCGAGTATTCTTTTTTTTTGAGTGCATGAACGTAGACTAAGAACTCGGCTCGAGATTATCTGCGGGCCTAGGGACACAAAACCGGCGAAAGTTACGTGGCGCGGTGATCCGTTCGACCAAATTGCGATTATCAGCGAAACAAGTAAGTCCGCGTTGAATTACGGCTTGTAAAGAGGCTGCTGCACGCTATCTTATCCCGGCGTATTGTTTGTCACGTACATTGGCTTGCACCCTCTGGCCTGCTTAGCCTGCGTCTAGCTTTGCGCCCTGCGATTGTCATCTTCTCGTGCCTGCGCTCGCTATCTTTCAGCTTGAAGCAGTTAGTAAAGTCTCCCGTTCCGTACTTTCGCGGTATCATTCCGATTAAACAATTTGTCTCGTGAATTAGCGTGATTCGGTCTGTTAATTATCGAAGTCCGTCGTGGATTCTGTATTTTTTCTTTTATCTTATTTTGTATTACACCGAGTAAATGTTTACAATAGGGGAGACCCCTCCGATCGGCTTCTTGTTTTGATACATTGTAAATATGATCTTCCTGAGTACGTTTCTAAAAGTTTTATCCGTCGCTCATTGTTTATAAAAAAGTTATGAACAAAAAAAGTTTGATGACTAAATTATCGTTTTTCGCCACCGTGTACATTTTTTTTGTGTTGTAAACATGTAGGAAAGAGGGGCTGCGCCCCCTCTGCACCCCCGCCTAAAAAACCTAACCTAACCCTAATCTAAACTCTTCTTTCTGCATTTCCCCTCGCAAGTTTTATTCATTTCTGTTGATATTGTAGTAACATAGGTTAACCAGTGTGGAAATTTTGCAAGGAGGAATGCAGAAAGATGAGTTGAGGTTAAGTTAAGGTTTTTAGGGGGGGTGCAGGGG